CAGGTGGCCATTCAATAAGTTTCTCTTCCACCACCATTGTTCTGAGGTGTCCCAATTGCTCTCTCCCACAGGGCAGCTCCCCACCTTGTACGATTTCCACTTTGACGGGAGAAGGTGGGTGCCGTGGAGCAGCCTGGTTGCTCAGTATCACCACACTCCTGAAGTGAGATTTATCGACATCCTAGGTAAGAGGGAAACCAATGGAGCACCATTTGGTAGGAGTGTCATCGGTTAACGCTTGAGTGTCGCAGTTTCGATGAGTGCTTTCCAAAGCAACGTAGTTTCAGGCATTCTTCATCAGTTTGTATGTCGTCCCCTCCACCCTTATTATTTTTACAAACTCTGCAAGGCAGCAAACCTATCCAGCTGTTTTCCTCACAACAACAATCCTGTTGGGCCGAGAGAAAGGGATTGTCTCACAGTCTCCTAGTCATTGTCCCAAAGTCACCCAGCTGTCTTTCATGGATAAATCAGGATGTGAACTGACGGTCTCCGATATTTTTACCCCGGCTCCTTAGACCCGATTACTGGACTTTCCATCCTTCTCAGATTCTACAGGTTGTTAGAATAGGGCTAAGTGCCATTTCGACCTTCAATAAAGGTAGCAAGAGCTGGATTTCCAGTGAGCAAAATGGGGTCAGAAAAAAAGTAAATTAAACTTAAATAAATCGTGTGTAATACAACGACCCCTCCTAACCATACCTCCTTTGCTTCCACGAATATTACAAATTAAGTGCCGTTTTCGGAAGAGACGCGTAAAGCCCACCCAGGGCTCGAGTCGTAATGGGGTGGGGGCCTCTCTGTGGTGCAAAGGATCAGTTGGACGCCCTCTCTGTGAAGTGGCTTGGGTCTCCAGACTGATTTTCTGAGGGATGCTCCCTTCAATGGTTCCTCCTTCAGTTCCAACTGTGGACACCACACGCACCACTTGGCTGCTGGAGAAGATGTTGAAGATCAAGCGCCCGATGGTTCTGGTGGGAGAGTCGGGGACCTCCAAAACGGCCACGACGCAGAACTTGCTCAGGAAGCTGAACCCAGACACAAACGTAAGGCTGTCGCGTTCTGGACCGGGACTCCATCCTCCTGCCTATTGGGCCATTCTTCCATGTCCTGGTTGCTCCTCTACTGTAACCCAAAGGTGCTTTTTTTCCAAGAGGCAACTGGACTTTCTTCTTCTTCGAAGACATTTTGCTTCCCATCCAAGGAGCTTCTTCAGCTCTGACTGGAGGGAATGGGAGGATTTATATTCCTTGCAGACAGCTGGTCATTTGCATCCTTTCAGAGGGTCATTGAGGCTACTTGGAGGTTTTATCTGTGTCCTCAGAGTCACCTGAGTCTGCACTTTTTCCCTCTGGAAATCCATTCCTGCTCCCACACCATTCAAAGGGTGTTCATCCCAAATTGTATAGTTAAAGTGTGTAGATATTCTCAGTCATCCAGGTCATGGTTGTTCCAAAGGACAACCTTTGGGGCAAATATGACCTGGATGACTGAGAATCTCTACAGACCTTCCTCTATTGTAAAACCCCGAAGTACCAAGAAAGACATTACTTCTGAGCAATTTCCTCTCACCTGTAGACGGAAATATTTCCAAACCAAAGCAGACGACTTCCATCATTAAAGGTCTACTCTGGGAACTTCCAGGGAGGAGCCGTCTAAACTCTCTTCCTCCCAACCAAACTGTCCAAACTTTGTTGTCTCTTGGTCCCCCTTCCCTCTTTCTTGGCAATCCAGACTACATCCCACCACACCCCCAAATCACGCCAGGTTGCCTCCCTCGCCAGCTTTTATTTCTGGCAATAATTTTGGGTCTGTCCCATCCAGGTTCTGCTGGTCATCAACTTCTCCTCTCGCACCACTTCCATGGACATTCAGAGGAACATGGAAGCCAACGTGGAGAAGCGGACCAAAGAAACCTACGGGCCTCCCATGGGAAAACGGCTCCTGGTCTTTATGGACGACATGAACATGCCTCGGGTAAGGACTCCAGGAGACAGAGCTGAACATGGAAGAGGGGAAGAACATCGTCAAACTCTTCACAAGTAGTCCTCAAAAACAAACCAACCAGATTGGCCTCCATTTGTGTTGGTTCTGCTTGGCCTGTCACATCAATGCCCGTCGACACCTCCTTCTTCTACAAAGTTAAAGAAAGAGGAAAAGTCCTAAAAGTTAAGAAGGGGAAAAGTCATTTAACAGTCACTTGGGAGAAGTAGAGAAGGACAGAGATGGCCTCGTAGAAGGAATTCCACAGCTATCGTTTCTCCTTACTTCTAGGTTGGATCTCTCTTTGATGATCTAGAAAGGGTGCAGAGAAGAGCAACAAAGATAATTAGGGGATGGAGGCTAAAACATATAAAGAATGGTTGCTTTATGAAGAAGTGGGTATGTCTAGTCTGATGAAGAGAAGGACCAGGGGAGACATGATAGCAGTCTTCCAATATCTCAGGGGCTGCCCCAAAGAAGAGGGAGTCAAGCTACTCTCCAAAGCCCCCGAGGGCAGGACAAGAAGTGATGGGTGGAAACTCATCAAGGAGAGAAGCAGTTTAGAACTAAGGAGAAATTTCCTCACAGTTAAAACAATTAACCAGTGGAACAACTTGCCTCCAGAAGTTGTAGATGCTGCAACAGTGGGAGTTTTAAAAAAGATGTTGAATATCCATTTGTCTAAAGTGGCGTGTAGGGTTTCCTGCCTAAGCAGGGGGTTGGACTAGAAGACCTCCAAGGTCCCTTCCAATTCTGTTATTCTATTCTATCTTCCATCCATTGCTTCTTGTCCTGCCTTCAGGTGCTTTGGAGAATTAAGTCAATCCCTTCTTCTCTGTGACAGCCCCTCATGTAACTGGAAGACTGCTATCATGTCACCCCTAACCCTGAATAATTTTATTTTATTTTTATTTTATTTATTTATTTTGATTTGTCAATCGCTTACAAGATAATAGGTATAAGTAAAAACATAGTTATGAATACAGGCACGTTGGTGCACCTACAGACCTCTTAGGAAAGGGGTGAGGTCAATAGTAGACAGTCTAAGGTTAAAGTTTTTGGGGTTTGGGGAAGAAACCACAGAGTCAGGTAGAGTATTCCAGACATTGACCACTCTGTGGCTGAAGTCGTATTTGGTGCGGTTAACCTTGAGTTTGTATCTATTGTTTGCTCTTGTGTTGTTATGGTCGAGTCTTCCAAGACTTGAGGGGCTGTCACAATGAAGAGATTGACTTATTCTCCAGAGCACCTGAAGGCAGGACTAAGACACAGCCTTCCAGCCCTATCATTCTATGTCTTACCATGTGAACCTCAACTGAAGTTTCTAAAGCCTCGGTCTCTCAGCCCTGCTTTTCCCCCCTTCCATTTCCACCCAGGTGGACGAATACGGTACCCAGCAGCCCATCGCTCTGTTGAAACTGCTGCTGGAGAAGGGCGCCTTGTATGACCGGGGGAAGGAGATGAACTGCAAATACCTCCGCGACTTGGGCTTCATTGCCGCCATGGGCAAAGCCGGTGGCGGCCGCAACGAAGTGGACCCCCGCTTCATTTCCCTCTTCAGCGTGTTCAATGTGCCCTTCCCTTCAGAGGTCTCCCTGCACTTGATTTACGCCTCCATTTTGAAAGGGCACCTGGCGGTACGTGGGATTCCTCGGTGGGGAGAGAAGGGAGAGACGGAGTCAGTGTAGATTGGGTCACAAGTAGTCCTTGGCTTATGTCCACAATGGAGGCCCAAATTTCTGGTGTTCGATGAGGCATTTGTTGAGTGAGTTTCTCCCCCCTCCCATTTTACGACCTTTCTTGCCACTGTTGTTAAGTGAATTGGTGCAGTTGATACGTTAGTTGTCAACTCAAAAAAGTACTCCTTTGGTCTTTTGAGTTGTCAGCAGAAAGGGAGTGGGGGGAAAGCAGTGCATTCCTTAAATGCTTCAGATAATTGCTAGGCAGCCGAAGCTTCTGGCACGCAAGATTATTACTGATGACTCTTGGCTATGGAGGTGTCCCACTGGAGAATATACATCCGGGGGTGGGGAGAAGAAGGGGGAAATGAACGATATGTCTTAGAGTTGGCTGTACCCAGGTAACGCCGACATGGTCACTCCTAATAAATCTTCTGCGGCTGGAGGTTCATGATTTAAATGGGGGTGGATGCCGGAGCCCTGACATTAGTAACCTGGTTGTTAAGTGAACCTGGGCTCCCCACTGACTTTGCTTGTCAGAAGGTCGCCAAAAGGGGATCACGTGACCCTGGGAAACACCACCACCGCCATAAGTACATGCCAGTTGCCGAGCTTCTGAATTTTGATCACGTGACGAGGGATGCTGCAACGGTCATAAGCGTGACAAACAATCCTCTTTTCTCAGTGCTGTTGTAACTTTGAACGGTCACTAAATGAACCATTGTGAGTCCAGGACTACCTGTATTAAGCAGAAAGGAGAAAAAAAATAGAAAGCAAGGGAAAACAGACCACAAAGCCGGCGGTATTTTTCCACGGTTCTCTCTCTCTCTCTCTCTCTCTCTCCTTTTTCCTTTCATGAAATGATCTTCCCCCCCTTTTTATCGTCAGACCTTCGACGAGTCCATCGCTGCCATTGCGGACAAAATCACCTCCTGCACTCTGGCCCTTTACGAAACCATCGTCCACGACCTGCCGCCGACACCTTCGAAGTTCCACTACATCTTTAACCTGCGGGACCTCTCCAGGGTTTACAACGGGCTGGTCCAAACCACCCCAGAACGGTGAGTGTCTGATAGCTGTTCAGGAAGTCCTCGGCTTTTAACCATCCATTCAGTGACTGTCTGAAGCTACAACGGCACTGGGGGGAAAAAATGACTTTAAGAGCAGTCCTCGGACTTACGACCGTTACAGTATTTCCCCCCCCCCGATCATGTGATCAAAATTCAGGCACTTGGGAACCGGTACGTATGATAGTTGCAGCAGTGACCTTCCCAGATGTCTTCTTCTCCATCTGTGACCTTCCCAGCTGTCTTCCATTGGAAGAATCCGGTCATTGGGAGAATCCAGATTTTTCTTAACAGCTGTGTACTTCACTTAACAACGGCCCCAATTTGCTTAACAACCATGGCCCAAAAAATAGAAGGAAAATGTCACAAAATCAGGCGGCTTGAGAATTCTGGTCCTAATGGTGGTTTTAAGTCAACAGCTACCTGTAATTATTTTAATATTCATGTTTAAGGAGGAAGAAGAAAATTTATTATTTGACACCCAGAGTCTTTGGAAGATTGTTGTTGCTGCTGTTGTTGTTGTTGTTGTTGTTGTTGTTGTTGTTCTTCTTCTTCTTCTTCTTCTTCTTCTTCTTCTTCTTCTTCTTCTTCTTCTTCTTCTTCTTCTTCTTCTTCTTCTCCTCCTCCTCCTCCTCCTCCTCCTCCTCCTCCTCCTCCTCCTCCTCCATCATCATTTGACTCGGCCTTTTACGCACTCGTCTTTGCTGATCTGATGGCTTTGACATAGGTTCCAAACAATCACCCAGATGGTGAGGGTATGGAGAAACGAATGCCTGCGTGTTTTCCACGACCGGCTGATCAACAAGGCAGATAAAGCTCTGGTAGGTTCTTCTTTTTGAAACTCCTAATGTACAGTTCCATTCGGGACATCACATTTTCAGACTCTTTTTCAAAAAGAACTCGGAGGCAAGATCTGAGCAGACCATTTTTGATAGAGAAAGCCTTAGTCGGACTCAATTTTTAGATCCAGCATCCACAGGCCTGCCTTTTCCCATAAGGCCCCATTCCTTGGTCCCATAAGGACCAAGAGACTCATACTTATGACTGCTGCAGTGTCCTATTTTTACTGTAGCTGCTCACAAAACACCAGCAGAGAGCTACACGCACAGGATCCCAGAGTGTTATCTGTTGTATTTGCAGAAGGCATAGAACTTGCAAAAAAATGTTATTTCGGGTTTCATTGAGTCTCGATCATCAAGTGCAGATCTGATCCTTCAACTCCAGATCCCAAACCAACTCCACGCCTCTAACTAAAGATTTTCACTGACGTGTGTTAGTAACTCTGAGGTTGAAGGTTGGTGTAAATTGGTAATTCTGGAGTTGGTAATGTGGGGGCTTCGGTGCTCTCTGAGCTTTTGTTACAGACGCTTCATGACCCAACTAGGGAACATCATCAGAGCTAGAAAGGGAGTGGGGTGTGCATTCTGTTCATATAAATGAAAGCCCAACTCCCTTCTAGCAGCGGTGATGTTATCTAGTTGGGTAAATGAAATGTCTGCAAGAAAAGAAAACAACCAAGTTCAGAGAGCATCAATGACCCACATTCTTCTCCCTCCTCCCTCCACCTCCCTTCCAACACTGATGATGTGACCTAGTTGGGTAAATGAAATGTCTACAAACAAACCATCAACCTCAGAGAGCACCAAGGACCCCACAGTTCCATCCTGAGCTACAAATTCAATGGGGTTGCTAATTCTGGGATGCGTTGCAAATTCTGGAGTTGACTGGTGGCTTTTCTGGAACTGTCCAAGGTCCAAGGCCTCATACAAGGCCTGCTGGAAACGAATTTCAAAGACTCTGCTGAAAATGCACTCAGGGACCCCATCCTGTTTGGAGACTTCCGAACGGCCTTGAACGAAGGGGAGCCTCGTGTTTACGAAGACATCCAAGATTATGACGCAGCCAAAGCTCTCTTCCAGGTATGGAGCTTCTAAATTCAGGAGGAAAAATATCTTGGCAGTTGAAATGAGGTTAAAGCCAAATCCAGCTGGAGACACTTCCCTTATCCCTGCTTTGCATGTGGGCAGCCAAGCTAGTTTTAACAATGTTGAAGTGTTTCTAAGCTAGTTTTTACGTAGCTGAACAGTTTCCAGACTAGTTTATACATAATTGAATAGTTTCCAAAGTAGCTTTCACTTAGTTAGCGTTTCCTAACAAATGTTTACATTGTTAAAGAGATTTTCCTAACTAGATTTTACATAATTAAAGAGCTTCCAAGTTTGTTTTTATGTAGTTAAAGAGTTTCCAGCTAGTTTTTACATAGTTAAAATTTCCTAGCTGGTTTTTACATAATTAAACAGTTTCCAGCTAGTTTTTACATAGACAACAAAGAGAAAAACCCTCAATGGAATGACCCAACCATTACACAAGAGATTTTTGAAGACCTTCTGTCTCTTCCACACCTCCAATTTGGAGAATCTTTCTTTGTCATCTCGCACCTCCTGTTTTTAACTTGTAGCTTCACCCCCAAGCCATCATTTGTGTCCGTCTTTGTGCTCGCAGGAGATTTTGGAGGAATACAATGAAGTGAACACAAAGATGAACCTCGTGCTGTTCGACGATGCTCTGGAACACCTGACCCGCGTTCATCGCATCATTCGAATGGACCGGGGCCACGCGCTGCTGGTAGGAGTCGGGGGCTCCGGAAAGCAGTCCTTGGCGAGGTTAGCCGCCTACACCGCGGGATGTGAGGTGAGCCGTGCAGCTCCATCCAAAAAAAACCCCTTTGTTGTAGTCCAGTATTTTTCATTAACATAAGATGTGGAGTCCCATTCGGTCCTAATCATCAGACAGTTCAAATTCTTGGAGTCTTGGGCCGCCTTCTTCAATCTGCTTTCAGGGATGCACCAAAAACTCAAGCATGAGCCAATAAAAAAAAAAATACGGTGGGATTTTGCTAGTAGAGTGGACTTTTGACTCTCTGGGTTCACATTGACACCTTCACCTATTTTCTTAAAAACGTGGCAGAATTGAAAATTGCCAATCTTCCTTAGGCTGTGAAAAGCTGATTTAAGGCTAATTGGAGAGACATAAATTCAATAAACAAATACATAAATTGAAATAGCAATAGCACAGAGTTATATACTGCTTTACAGTGCTTTACAGCCCTCACTAAGCAGTTTACAGAATCAGCCTCTTGCCCCCCAACCATCTGGGTCCTCATTTTACCCACCTTGGAAGGATGGAAGGCTGAGTCAACCTTGAGCCTGGTGAGAATCGAACTGCCAAATTCTAGGCAGCTGGCAGGCAGCAGAAGTAGCCTGCAGTGCTGCACTCTAGCCACTGTGCCACCTAACAACACAGAAGAAAACCCTTAACATCCGAATATGAGGTTTTAGTAAAACCTAACCCTAGGTGAAAAAAATAATAATAATGATAGGCCAATGGATGCCTCTTTCACCTTCTTTTAGGTCTTTGAAATAGTTCTCAGCCGAGGATACGGCGAAAACAATTTACGGGAAGACCTCAAGATTCTCTACACGAGACTCGGGATCGAGAATAAAATCATCGTCTTCCTCTTTACGGATGCCCACGTGGCAGAAGAAGGGTTCTTGGAGCTTATCAACAACATGTTAACCTCAGGTATTTCAAAAGCACACTGGACGTTTTCATTTGCCAGCCCTGCAAGAGCCTTTGCGTTTCAGGTGGTTTCCTACGGCTCTGGTAGAGAAGATGACCAGAGATGTTATTTTATAAAAAAACACTCATCTCTCCCTGTAAATGTCCCTTGAGTGAAATGTTTTTTTTTTTTTTTTACCTGTCTTCTGTTCTCAACCGCAGAAGATCCGGTAGCCTAGCTACAATTTTGTAAGATAAGAGTGGGATGTACTTCTGGTTTTAAACTGCCTTAATGTTCCTTCAAATCCTCACCCCCACCCCAGTTTATGGCAACTCAAAAACAGGAGTAGGAATGTTTTACAAGTTGATAACATGTTTGTGGAGATTCTCAACCATCCAGGTCATGGTTGTCCCAAAGGGTCTTTTCCACAAGGCAACTGGACTTTCTTGTTTTGTTTTTTTCCCTTTGCAAGTGTTTCACTTCTCATCCAAGAAGCTTCTGGGGCCTCCAGAAAACATTCGCTTGCCCCCTTGAATTAGCAAGTAGAGGAGCCCCCAGCTACCATCTTCCCTCTTCTTCAAGGCCCACCTTTGCTCTGGCTGTGGCAACATCCCCCACTTCCAGTCGCTCATCTTCCCTTCTTCTTCCTCTGGTGTGCTCCACAGGCATCGTCCCGGCCCTGTTCGCGGATGACGAGCGAGACAACATTTTGAGTCAGATTACCCAGGAAGCCATGAAAACAGGCATAGCCCCAGCCAAAGAGAGCGTCTGGCAGTACTTTGTGAACAAGAGTGCCAACAACCTCCACATTGTCCTCGGGATGTCCCCTGTGGGGGAGACCTTGAGAACGCGCTGCCGAAATTTTCCAGGTAACCCCTCCAGAGGGCAGTTCTTCCCAACGGTATCAAAATGACCCAGCAGGCCATAGAGGGGCAAAAGAGCAGGTGGCCTGTAAGAGCGGAAGGGAGAGAGAAGATTCTCAATAAAAGGGGATATTTGTAGCTCAGGGTTGAAATGTGGGCTCCATGGCGCTCTCTGGGCTTGTTTTCTTGCAGACGTTTCATGATCCAACTAGGTGACATCATCAGTGCTAAAAGGGAGTGGAGGTTTTGGAGATGAGGAGGAGGAGGAGAGCGGGGGACAACTAAGATCCTTGGTGTACTCTCTGAGCTTGCAGATGTTTCATCACCCAACTAGGGAACATCATCAGTGCTAGAAGGGAGTGAGATTTATGGAGAGGGGAAGAGGATGACTATGGCTTCCTTGTTGCTCTCTGAGCTTGGTTGTTTCATGACCCAACTAGGGCACATCATCAGTGCTGGTAAGGAGACAACCAATCTCAGAGAGCAACAAGGATCCCTCAGAGAAGACTCAACCTTGACCAGGTCTTTGGTTTCTTGATCTGACTTGTCACCCTTTCCTTTTTAAAGGCCTCGTCAACAACACTGGCATTGATTGGTTCCTGCCCTGGCCTCCTCAAGCTCTCTATGCTGTGGCAAAGTTTTTTTTGGGTAAGAAGGAACTTTGAACTGTTTTACACACACACACACACACACACACACACACACACACACACACACACAGACTTCTTATACATCCAATGGATGTGCTTTAAGGCAGAGACAGATGTTCTGCCCTGCAAGATTTCTTCTCACGCTTCTCCTTCCTGGCTGTTTTTCTCCTTCCTACAACAAGGATTTCTCACCCATGTCAACTTCAATTCCCAGAATTCCCCAGCCAGCATGGGATTTGATTCTTTTCCATTGACTCTCGCCCCACCCCACCCCACCCCCCAAAAATCCAATTTCTTTGTCTAGGGAGCAATCCGCTCGTCCCCTCGGAGCACACCGAGGAGCTGATCGCTCACACCGTCATGGTCCACGGTTCGGTTGGCGTCTACAGCAAAAAGTTCTTGCAGAAGCTCAGGAGGAGCAATTACGTCACGCCCAAGAATTACCTGGATTTCATCAACACCTACACCAAGCTGCTGGAGGACAAGAATAATTTCATTTTGGGTAAGGAGCGGGGCTTCGAAGGGCCACCTTCGTCAATCCCCTGAATCGGTAAATTGAGTGAAGTTGGGAAAGGGTTACACCAGGGTGGATGTGGTGTGTTAGCAGCAGACCCGGCTGTGATTCTGATTCTCTGTGCTGTTTAAAGAGAGGACTTATATTAAGGTAATGACGATTTAATAGCTGGCCAGCTGCTGTAAGGCTGCTGTAAATGCTGAGGATGCAATGAGGATGAGTCAGCAGGGTTATTGCCCCTTTAAGACTGAGGATGGGTCGGCAGGGTTACTGCTGCTTTAAGAAGCTGTCTATATAAGGGAGGCCATGAGAGGGCATTTCTCTCTCTCTCTCTCTCTCTCTCTCTCTCTCTCTCTCTCTCTC